GAGGCCAAGGTGGCTGGATGGCTTGAGGTCTGGAGTTTGAGACCAGCCTGGCCAACATGGTGAAACGCTGTCTCTACTAAAAATACAAAAATTAGCTGAGTGTGGTGGTGCACGCTTATAATCCCAGCTACTTGGGAGGCTGTGGCAGGAAAATTGTTTGAATCTGGGAGGTAGAGGTTGCAATGAGCAAGATTGACCACTGCACTAGAGCCTGGGCGACAGAGCAAGACTCTGTCTCAAAAAGAGAAAAAAAAAAAAAAGTGGGGGCTGGGCCCAGTGGCTCATGCCTGTAATCCCAGAACTTTGGGAGGCCAAGGTGGGCAAATCACAAGGTTAAGAGATTGAGATCAGCCTGGCCAACATGGTGAAACCCCATCTCTACTAAAAATACACAAAACTTAGCTGGGCATGTTGGCATGCACCTGTAGTCCCAGCTGCTTGGAAGGCTTAGACAGGAGAATTGCTTGAACCCAGGAGGCAGAGATTGCAGTGAGCCGAGATCATACCACTGCACTCCAGTGGGCAACAGAGCGAGATTCTATCTGCAAAAAAAAAAAAAAAGAAAGAAAGAAAGAAAGAAAAGGATTTTTGAGGTACATGGTCAAAGTTCTTTCCTGAGAGCACTCAGAGAAACAGAAATTTTGGGAAGTCTTCAGCTATTGCTCCAATCAGGGCAGCTGTTGTTTTTGGTATATCTGTTGATAGCAATGACAGACAAATAGAATCCCTCGGCAAAACAGTATTTTACTTGTGGGATGCACAGCCCAGGAGTTAGAAGATGTGTCAGATAGCTCCTTCTTTGTGGGACAGTAATTGCCTGCATTCTCCCAGCTGCACAATCAGACAATACGTCCTTGCAAACAACTGCTGCAGTCCACAGATAATAAACTAAAAAGAAGCGACTTGGTTCACATCTTGAATCTACAAAGACATACCCTCTGAAGGGCAGAAGCAAGACAGTGGTCAGAGGTTCATAAACTACAATACAGGAAATCAAAACCAAGAGCTTTCTTTATTTCTGAGGACAGAGGTATTCTTTCTCTCCTTTTTTCTCTTTCAAATGACAAGACTTAATGCTTCTTTACAATATGACAAGCATTCTGTCTTCCAAATACTATCACCTTACATTTGTATTGTGTTACATAACAATTTCACATGCATTAACTAATAACAATTTAGGTAGGTAGTGTGGTACAATTACTATTCAATTTTACAGGACCACATGGGATTTCAGAATTATGAGTCCACAAATATGAGGAAGAGATGTGTTGGACGTGAAGAAAGTTAAAGGACTGTGCCACATTCCCTTAATACTGATGCCAAAGGTTCCAAATCCTCTGGAGATAAAGTCTCTCCATTATCTCAAGGGCCTGAAATTAAATGCCTCAAAAACTCTACACATGCTCAGTGTGCTCTGATTAGCAAAGGAACAAAGTGCTTCTTTTTTTTTTTTGAGACAGAGTCTTGCTCTGTTGCCCAGGCTGGAGTGCAGTGGTGCACTCTTGGCTCACTGCAACTTCTGCCTCTCGGGTTCAAGCGATTCTCCTGCCTCAGCCTCCTGAGTAGCAGGAATTACAGGCAAATTTTTGTATTTTTAGTAGAGATGGGGTTTCACCATGTTAGCTAGGCTGGTCTCGAACTCCTGATCTCAGGTGATCTGCCCACCTCAGCCTTTCAAAGTGCTGGGATTACACCGTACCCGGCCCAGCGCTTCCATGATGTGTGTTCTTGTCACAGATATTAGCTCAGAGACAACTAACAGCCATTTCTTTTTTTTTTTTTGAGATGGAGTCTCACTGCACTCTTGCAGAGGCTGGAGTGCAGTGGTGCGATCTTGGCTCACTGCAACCTCCATATCCCAGATTCAAGCGATTCTCTTGCTTTAGCCTCCTGAGTAGCTGGGACTACAGATGCCTGCCACCAAGCCTGGCTAATTTTTGTATTTTTAGTAGAGATGGGGTTTTCACCAAGTTGGTCAGGCTGGTCTTGAATTCCTGACCTCAGGTGATCTGCCCACCTCAGCCTTTCAAAGTGCTGGGATTACACCACACCCGGCCCAAAGTGCTTCTATAATGTGTGTTCTTGTCACAGATATTAGCTCAGAGACAACTAACAGCCATTTCTTTCCTTTTCTTTTCCCTTTCTCTCAAGTTCAAAAGGTCACCAAGGTGCCAAAATAAGTCCGGTTAAAACTGTCAATGTTAGGGCTAAATGAAATTTAGAAAGATCCTATTTACTCTGTTATGACCATACTGGTCTCTCAATCTCTCTCTGAGATAGAGTCTCACTGCACTCGCGCAAGCTGGAGTGCAGTGGCTAGATCTCAGCTCACTGCAACCTCCGTCTCCGGGGTTCAAGCGATTCTCCTGCTTCAGCCTCCTGACTAGCTGGGACTAGAGGTGCCTGCCACTACGCCCGGCTAATTTTTGTGTTTTTAGTAGAGATGGGGTTTTTGCCAAGTTGGTCTGGCTGGTCTTGAACTCCAGACCTCAGGTGATCCGCCCACCTTGGCCTCCCAAATTGCTGGGATTACAGGCGTGAGCCACTGTGCCCAACCAGCTAATAGTCATTTCTAAGGAAGGTTCAAGGGAGCCTTGCTGCAGACTGAAGAAAGGGCTGGTCCTTGGACTGTGTCATAGCCGTTCCTCTTCTGCATCAATCTGGTTTGCTGTTGCGGGGCATGAGGGGAGGGGTTGGAGGGTGGGGAGAGATGTTAAAGACAGTAGTGGGGAGGAGTTTCTTGGTTAAGAAGCAGAACTTTGGAGGTGTGTTGTAACTACATGCGTAAAAAAAGGCTTAGGACATGTCAGACATCTGAAGCAGGAAGCAGGCAAAGGAAGCACCGTAGTTTCCTTTGGGCTAGGGATTCCCCTCTTGGATTAAGCAAAAGGTCAGGAAAGATAAGCCCCTTTCCTAATGTCTATAAAGTCCAAGGATGATGGAAATTCCAGGAGGTACAGGGGTTCTAAAATGCTATATAACAACTGTGTCTAAAGCATTCTTTATATAAACTCACAATAATGTCCTCTGATTTTTCAGGGGAACTATGTCTACTGTCTAATAGGGCACTGATGTGTTGTTATTTAATAAATACCAACAACCATCATGTTGGAGAAAAAAACCAAAACAGGTAAAATTCCGCAGAGTACAAATTTAACTGAGAATGGTCCACAGTTGGGGAATAGAAGCAGTAACCACAAACTGGAAATCATTTTACCTATTCTTTAATAACGACAACATTTTCCCTAGTGTTTATATCTTACAAAAGCACTTGAACATAATCTTATATAAATATAATTAAGATTCTTCTGAATCATGAAGGTTTAAAAAGATTTTTCAATTTACTCTTAAATTCATCAAATCAAGAGGTTTTTTGGTTTTATTCATTTAAATTAAACTAGCCTGGAAACAGAAACAAACAACTTAAAGTCTCTACCGGGAATTGTCACCCATTCACAACTGTATCACTTGCTCCTACTTACTGCCTCTAAATAACACTACCTAGTTTCATTCAACTGAGGATCTGAACAAGGAGGAGCTGCAATTGTGCTACTTCCTGTTGCAGAATTACCCAGTCACTTCCAATCTTCTTCCATTTTAGGATACTTTCCTTCCAAAGTCCTGACCAAAGAGAGAGCAACTTCTGTTCCACTATTCCTAGACAATTTTCCTCAATCACTTAAACCAATTTTCCTTCATTTTCTTGGTTCGCATTCTTCAAAGGTCAATTCTATTTCCTGTACCCCACTCCTCCTTCATGCCCTCGGGTTCTGTTCTGCTGGGTAAAAATACTCTTATCTTTCTGTAAAGATCAGTTCTCTAGTCTTAAATAGTTCTGGTGGTTTTTCAAAGGTGCCCTTCGTTTGAAGAACCCTTTTGTGCTGCCCTCAAAGTCTCGCGCAGAGATGAAAAAGGCTGTTGCCCTTCTCATTCTGTGCACACCTCCATCTCCCTGTCACCCAAATAAATGTCAGTTTTTATTACTCTATAATAAATACTTCCTATCAGCATCAAATTTCTATTATCGCCATTCCTAGTCTCTTGCGGCTTTTTCCTCCATCCTGCCCTCTTATAAGTTTGAATGATTGTAACTGAAAATTATCTTTGACTATTGTTATTTCCCAAAGACAGAACAGTTGTTGAAGACTAAACAGCACTGAATCCATGCCCTAGATATAGATAGATAGATAGATAGATAGATAGATAGATAGATAGATAGATAGATAGACAGACAGACAGAAACAACTGTTGGTCTTTGGAAAAAAGTCTTAGGAATTAAAAACAAATCACTTTTCTTCACCTTGGGCATTAAAAAATAACTGAATTTCAGCTTTAAACATTTTAAAATCACTCTCTCTCTCTCCACACACACATATTTAGTTTCTGACTCAGAACTAATGCCGGCTGGGTGCAATGGCTCACACCTGTAATCCTAGCACTCTGGGAAGCTGAGGAAGGGGGATCACAAGGTAAGGAATTGGAGACCAGCCTGCCCAGTATGGTGAAACCTCATCTCTACTAAAAATACAAAAATTAGCCAGGCGTGGTGGCAAGTGCCTGTAGTCCCAGCTACTTAGGAGGCTGAGGCAGGAGAATCACTTGAACTTGGGAGGCAGAAGAATTGCTTGAACTCGGGAGGCAGAGGTTGCAGTGAGCTGAGATCATACCACTTGCACTCTAGCATGGGCAACAAAGCAAGACTCTGTCTCAAAAAAAAAAAAAAGAGAGAGAGAGAACTAATGCAATATGCTTGAGTGTTTTACCAAACCAACATTTCTGTGGGACAGTGAGTTCAGTCCTTTGGCTGACACCACAGCCAGAATTATTGTTCAAGGCTGTTAATACAACTTTTTTATCAGTAAGATCATGGCTGGCTGTCACATGACTGCTAAGAAACCACAGCCTTTTGGGCAAAGCACAGCCTGTGGGCCTGGCGAGGTCACAGAAACCTCACAGCACAGCACACTGCTGCCTCTTCTGGCTGTTACTGTAGAACATACCTCTTCGTAATTTTTCGCCTCCACTCCATGCTTCATGTCTAGGATCACGAGTTGGTCAGGTATCCGCCCTGTTCCTGAGAAAGAAATAAAAGGATTCATTGTGTGGAATACTTAAAATTCCGGGAAATTACCCACCCACCCACCCTCCCTCCCCGAACCCCTGCCCACTCAATAGAGGGAAACAGCCACAACTCCTCCCCCTGCTCAGTTGCAGAAAATTCCTGGCTCTGGCTAAAATCACAAACATTCCAGACAAAGCCTCTATCTGTGTGGGGTGCCGGAAAGCAAGAAGAACATGCTGCTGGTAAACATCTCTGAGCAGGCAAGGACACAAGAGACTGCAACTGCTACAGGGGAACAGAACAGCAGAAGAGAAAACACACAGGCTTATTGAATTGAGAAATAAAACTCAAAAATCAAAACAGTGTGAAATTGATTGGCATATAAATCAAGAAATAATGGTCACTAACTTGGGCTGAAAATGCATATTTCCATATCTGAAAAGGTTGCCCTGTCAAATTTTGAGGGAAGGCCATGATGAATTAGGATTATTGGATATGTGCTAAGCTTGGATTTACTTAATATAAATCTGAGCACTGAAAAGAGCACAAGTTTTATCTAATATTCCACTCAAACATTGTGATCAATGTATTTCTTATTTCATCAGATGAATAAAATGTTACAGAGCTATTCCCACCAAGCCCTTAAAAGAGTTACAACAGCTCAAGGGGAAAAAATACTTTACAATAAGAGTTCAAATCTTAGGGATGATTCTTATAATAGAAAGAGTTCATGTTAGAAGAGTCAATCTGATTCAGCTGGATCGAAGAGGCATTCTAATCTTAAATCATCAAGTAGGAGAAAGGAAAAGATCCAAAGAGCTCCAGAAAACTGTTCAGCCCCGATGCCCTGGAATTCACCTAGTTATAAAATTTAAAACTACCTGCATGAAATTAGAAGTTTTAGGAAGCATAGTGCCACTTAAGCACTGGGGTTCCTGAGACCATAAGCCACAATGAATGGTACTGTACCCTCTGATGCCTGAGAGACACTGAAAGTTTTCTGAAATGAACTGAAGTCAACTCAGTGACTACTCACTGAGAACTCACTAAGTATTAGAACTGTGCTAGAGATTTTAAAGGGATAGGATACAGCTTAAATGAATCCTTCTCAAAGTTCATGTGTTGGAAACTTAATCCCCAATGCAAGAGTGTTGAGAGGTAGAAGCTTTAATTTTATATACTTATTTTAAAAAATTTTTGTGAGACAGGTTCTTGCTCTGTCCTCCAAGCTGGAGTGCAGTAGCATCATCATGGCTCACTGTAGCCTTGAACTCCTGGGCTCAAGTGATTCTCCTGCTTCAGCCTCTCATGTAGCTGGGACTACAGGTGTGAGTCACCACACCCAGCTAATTTTCATATTTTTTGTAGAGATAGGGTCTTGCTATATTTTCCAGGCTGATCTGGAACTCCTGGGCTCAAGTGGTCCTCCTGCCTCAGCCTCCCAAAGTGCTCGGATTACAGGCATGAGCCACTGTGCCTGAACAAGAGGTAGGACCTTTAAGAAGTAATTAGGTCAGGCCCATTGTGCTGGCTCATGCCTGTAAACCCAGCACTTTGGGAGGCCGAGGTGGACGGATCATGAGTTCAGGAGATCAAGACCATCCTGGCCAATATGGTAAAACCCTGTCTCTACCAAAAATACAAAAATTAGCCAGGCATGGTGGTGGGTGCCTGTAGTCCTAGTTACTCAGGAGGCTGAGGCAGGAGAACGGTTCCAACTCAGAAGGTGGAGGCTGCAGAGAGCCGAGATCCCACTACTGCACTCCAGCCTGGGTGACAAGTGAGACTGCATCTCAAAAAAAGAACTGATTAGGTCATGAGGACTCTGCTCTCATCAATCGATTAATACCATTATCACAGGAGTAGGTTTGTTATAAAAGTGAGTTCAGCCTCCTCTTGCTCTCCTGTGCATTCTCTCGCCATGTGATACCTTCTGTATACCCCTTCCTCACCAGATGTGGCCCCTTGATCTTGGACTTTCCAGGCTCCAGTACCATAAACTAAATACATTTCTACTGCTTATAAATTACCCAATCTGTGATATTCTGTTACAGCAGCACAAAATGGACTAAGCCAGGATACAATCCCTGCCTTTAAATAATTCAATTGGGATTTAAGACATATACACAAAACAGCTTTGGTGAAAATTCAAAGCAATGTAAAATGTTAAGCCAAAAGAATTGGTTCAGATAATCCCAATATGGAGCAAAGGTAAGAGGAGGGAAGATAGTAGTTGTGGACAGACTTCACTAAAGAGGGAACACCTAAAGGCAGGGCTTAGGCAAAGTACTCTAGGCAGATAGCAAAGCATTAGCAAAGGCTCAGAAATTAAAATCGGAGTATGGCATATTTGAAAGACAGTAAAGAACTTCTTTTGGGGCATGGTGGCTCATACCTGTAATCCCAGCACTTTGGAAGGCCGAGGCAGATGGATCACTTGAGGTCAGGAGTTCGAGACCAGCCTGGCCAACATGGCAAAACCCATCTCTACTGAAAATACAAAAGTTGGCCAGGCATGGTGGCTCACGCCTATAATCCCCAGCACTTTGGGAGGCTGAGGTGGGCAGATCACAAGGTCAGGCGTTCCAGACCAGCCTGATCAACATGGTAAAACCCCATCTCTACTATAAATACAAAAAAAATAAGATGGGCGTGGCAGCACACACCTATAATCCCATCTACTCAGGAGGCTGAGGCAGGAGAATTGCTTGAACCCTAGAGGTGGAGGCTGCAGTGAGCTGAGATCATGCCACTGCACTTCAGCCTGGGTGACAGAGCGAGACTCTGTCTCAAAAAAATAAAGTAAAATAAAATATTTAAAAATAAATCCAAGAATGTTGCTGGGTTAAATTAAATTTAAAAAAAGAACATCTTTTGGATAGACTGGAAAGATTAATTTGAAAGCAAGAGAAATATAAATAAGACTGCACAGGGTAAGACAGAACAAAGTAAGACAAGTCACAGGATGTCTTCTGAGCATGAAAACAACAAATCTCCAAACAAAACGTGGTACCCAGAGTGTTCTGTTCTCCCAAATCCGATGTGTAATCCTGATTATGACATTGCCCACAGAAGATGTAATGCAAATTTTTGCTTTTCCTTCCTCATTGAAAAAGTTGTGAAACCCAAGCAGTTCCCAGCCTCACCTGGTCCAAATGATCAGGCTGTCCTCTTACTTAGAGTCTTCCAACTACCTCCCTGTTTGTCACAGCACAGTACAGTCATGCACTGCATAAAGATAATTCAGTGAAGGGCGAACTGCATATATGAATGTGGTCCCATGAGATTATTATAATACTGTATTTTTACTAAATCTTTGCTTGTTTAGCTATACAAATACCTTTGTGTTCCAATGGCCTACAGTATTCAGTACAGTCACATGCTGTACAGGTTTGTAGCCTAGGAGCAATATAGCTGAGCTGGGTAGCAGGCTATACCATCTAGGTTTGGGTAAGTACACTTGATATATGCACAACAAAATCACCTAACAACCATTTCTCAGAATGGTCAGAGTCAAGTCTATATAGTCTCTTGCACAGAGAACTGTCAGGCACTTCTCCTGCCTCAGCCTCCTAAGAGCTGGGATTATAGGCATGCGCCACCACACCCAGCTAATTTTTTGTATTTTTAGTAGAGACGGGGTTTCACCATGTTGGCAAGGATGGTCTTGAACTCCTGACCTCAGGTAATCTGCCTGCCTTGGCCTCCCAAAGTGCATGGGATTACAGGCATGAGTCACTATGCTCAGCCACTTTTGTTTTTTGCTGTTGCTGTTTATTTTTTTGAGACACAGTCTCAGTCTGTCACCCAGGCTGGAGTGCAGTGGCAAAATCTTGCTCACTTCAACTTCCACCTTCTGGGTTTAAGTGATTCTCCTGCCTCAGCCTCCTGAGTAGCTGGGATTATAGGCATGAGCCACCACACCCAGCTAATTTTGTATTTTTAGTAGAGACAGGGTTTCACCATGTTGGCCAGGCTGGTCTGAAACTCCTAATCTTCAGTGATACGCCTGCCTTGGCCTCCCAAAGTGCTGGGATTATAGGTGTGAGCCACCGTGTCCAGCTTTCTTTCTTTTTTTTTTTAAGACTTCATTTTGTTACAGCAGTTTTAGGTTCACAACAAAACTGAGAGGAAGGTACAAAGATTTCCCATATCTCCCTTCCCCTTACACATGCATAGCCTCCCCAATTATCATCATCTCCCACCAGAGTGGTACATTTGTTACAAATAATGAACCTATATGGACACATAATTATCAATCCAAAGAAAATTAGGATTCACTCTTGGTGTACATTCCAAATGTAATGTTTGGACAAACATATAATGACATGAATCTACTATTACAGTACCATACAGAGTATTTTTACTGCCCTAAAAATCCTCTTGTTACACCTATTCAATCTTTTATTCCACTTAGACGACCTTTTAAAAGGTGCTCCAAAGACTACAAGGTAATAGGTCTCCAAATCAGAATAAACAAACAAAGGAAACTAGATATTAAGTGCTGACTGTAATAAGGAGCACTAGAGTTGGAGAAGATTTTTAATACAGGGAAACACTCTGGTTACTCACCCTTGCTCTCAAAACATACTTCAAACATGTCATAATCTTCAGTGGTAAAGGCAAATTTCCCCTTGGTTGCATCCTCTTTGGAGTAGAGAATATGGCCAGCAGAATCTGTGATCTAAGATAAGATAAGTAGTAAGAATAGGCATAGGCAGCAAATAACACTCAGGAAGAGAATTTACAGAAACTGGGGAGACAGAGACACTATCTATGAAAGACAACTGATAGTCATTATGATGACTATGTTCCAACCATCCCGAAAGACAAAAACTGGATTAGAAGATTAAATCCAAATATAGCAATTTCATTCATTCAAATATTCTAATCGCATTGTAGGCTAAAATCTGTTGCTGCTATAGGATGTCTTACCATACCAAAAAGTTAATCTAGCCAATGCTCCAAGTTATATACATTGGATTTATTTGCAAAAATTCACTTTACAGAATGCAGAGTAGTATCTTTCCCTGTAGAGGGACATGTCACAAAAATGAAAGTAGACAATTATCAAAAGATTATACACGAGTGACAAAGATATATAAAAACACATTTCTTCTATAAAAACAAATTTGATAGGGAAGGGTTGCGGGTGGAGAATAAAATTAGAACATACAATACAAGGACAGCAGGAAAAAAAGGAATGCATAGAGAAGAAAAGCCAGGAGTTCTATTCCTGCAAATTTCATGTTAATTATGTCAATGGCTAAGTAGAGTAGGAGCAAAACACAGGAAACAAACAAGAACTTCCTGGCCAGGCTTGGTGGCTCATGCCTGCAGTATCAACATTTTGGAAGGCTAAGGCAGGAGGATTGCTTGAGCTCAAGAGTTAGAGACCAGCCTGGGCAACATGGCAAAACCCCATCTCTATAAAAAATACAAAAATTAGCTAGGTGTGGTGGTGCGCACCTCTAGTCCCAGCTACTGGGAAGCTTGCTCTGTCACTGCAGCCTGGGTGACGGCAAGACCCTGTCTCAAAAAACACACACAAGAAAAAGAAGAAATTTCTCCTAAAAAAAAAAGACATCCTTGGCTTCTATAAATGATTACTCCTTTCTTCTAGATCCTTAGCTTTAGTTCTTCTGCTAAAGCTGCTCTATTACTAGAGAATGGCCTATCAGCACAGAAGAAAGGGCATACATTGGTAAGTAAATGCCCACATACAAAGCAAGGGAATTCCATGGTAATTTAACAGCCTGGATCTCAGCCTTCTTTTCTAGAGCACATGACTGTCTTAGTAGAAGGCACATTTCATTACTTAAGACTGGAAGCTACTGTGCAATGTGGAACACAAAAATAGTAGCTTAATTATATTAAACTGGATGTCCTAATGCTATTTGTTAAAACATAATTCTTTTAAGGGGAAATTTTAAGCAGGAAAATTAAGTAGCACACATTTAAGCTTATACATTTAAAAGCACTTTATAACAGTAGTTATTTCAAGGAGTAAGACTTCCTCTTTATATTTTTAATTTTTTTTTTTCCCATTTTTTAAAAAGGCATGTAGCCAGATGTGGTGGCTCAGCCAGGTGTGGTGGCTTATGCCTGTAATCCCAGTACTTTGGGAAGCCGAGGCGGGTGGATCACCTGAGGTAAGGAGTTTGAGAGCAGCCTGGTCAACATGGTGAAACCCCATCTCTACTAAAAATACACACACACACACAAAAAAAAAAAAAAAATTAGCTGGGCATGGTGCCAGGTGCTTGTAATCCCAGCTACCTGGGAGGTTGAGGCAGGAGAATTGCTTGAACCTGGGAGGTAGAGTTGCAGTGAGCTGATACTGTACTACTACTGCACTCCAGCCTGGGCGACAGAGCAAGACTCTGTCTCAAAAAAAAAAAAAAAAAAAAGGCATTTATCGTTTACAGTCAAAAATAATAATAAAGCTATTTAATTTTTTTTTTTTTTTTGAGACGGAGTTTCGCTTGTTACCCAGGCTGGAGCGCAATGGCGCGATCTCGGCTCACTGCAACCTCCGCCTCCTGGGTTCAGGCAATTCTCCTGCCTCAGCCTCCTGAGTAGCTGGGATTACAGGCACGCGCCACCATGCCCAGATAATTTTTTGTATTTTTGGTAGAGACGGGGTTTCACCATGTTGACCAGGATGGTCTCGATCTCTTGACCTCGTGATCCACCCGCCTCGGCCTCCCAAAGTGCTGGGATTACAGGCTTGAGCCACCGCGCCGGGCTAAAGCTATTTAATTTTAGAAAAAACTCATAATAACTAAAGTTTTCACCACTAGATAAATTTGAAATGACAGATTAACTAAAAAAAGTTTTATGGCACATCTTCTAAATTCCCTAATCATAACAGTAGTTAATATTGGTCAACTGTCAGCCGGGCGCGGTGGCTCAAGCCTGTAATCCCAGCACTTTGGGAGGCGGAGGCGGGTGGATCACGAGGTCAACAGATCGAGACCATCCTGGTCAACATGGTGAAACCCCGTCTCTACTAAAAAAATTACAAAAAATTAGCTGGGCACGGTGGTGCGTGCCTGAAATCCCAGCTACTCAGGAGGCTGAGGCAGGAGAATTGCCTGAACCCAGTGGGGGAGGTTGCGGTGAGCCGAGATTGCGCCATTGCACTCCATCCTGGGTAACAAGAGCGAAACTCCGTCTCAAAAAAAAAAAAAAAAAAAAAAAATATTGGTCAACTGTCTTCTGCCATCTGGCACCATTTATTAATTTGTCAAAAAAATAATTTTTTTTTTAGATGAAGTCTTGCTGTGTCACCTAGGCTGGAGTGCAGTGGTGAAATCTCTGCTCAATGCAACCTCCACCTTCCGAGTTCAAGCAATTCTCCTGCCCCAGCCTCCTGAGTAGCTGGGACTACAGGGGTGCACCACCACATCCAGCTAATTTTTATGTTTTTAGTAGAGATGGGGTTTCACCATGGTGGCCAAGCACCTGGTCTCGAACTCCTGACCTCAAGTGATCTGCCTGCCTCAGCCTCTCAAAGTGCTGGGATTACAGGCATGAGCCATCACACCCGGCCTAATTTGTCAAACATTTAAGATACCTAGACCAGTGCTGGTCACTGGGGATATAAGTATGAGTAAGATAGTTCCTGTCTTCAAAGGGCTCATGAGTCTAAATGAAGAGGAGAGTGATAAGAAATGACATGCCTTCATCGTGGTTTTGATTTGCATTTCCCTGATGGTTGGTGATACTGAGGACCTTTTAAGGTATTTGTTAGACATTTGTATGGGGTGATAAAATATATTAATTAGCTTGATGGTGGTAATCACTTTACAATGCATATGTACACCAAAACATTACATTACATATCTTGAATATAAACAATTTTTATTTGTCAATTATACCTTAATAAAGCTAAGAGAGAGCGCTTCACTGCAATGTGCAAAGCATGCTACCAGTTGCACAGGTGCCATGGGATTATGGAGGGTCAGGTGAGCCAACATCCAGAGCAGGTAGCACATAAGCTGCATCCTAAAGGATGAATTTCAGTCAAGAAGAGAGATAAAGACATTCAGGGTAGAAGAGATAGCAATATGAAGGCCTGGGTCCAGAAAAACATAAATGAAAATATGGCATTATCATATTACTAACAGCTAGTATTTACTGAACACTTACTAAGCGTCAAATACTGTATCACTGCTTTATAAGCATTTAAAATTTAATCCTCACTATAACCTTACTGGCAAAATTATTTTCCCTATGTTCCACTGGAAGAAACTGAGGCCCAGAGAGTTTAAGTGCCTGGAGAGGTACTGGCCAGATCGTGAACTAGAACAGCACATGTGTGCTATCCTAGTTCACGATCTGGCCAGTACCTCTCTAAGATTAAGCCACCTGTACTATGAAGACAGACTAGAGAGAGAGAACCCAAGAGATAAGGAGGTGGGTTGGGACATTATTCCAGTACTCCAGTACACTATTCCAAGTAAGAAAGGAGGAGGGCCTTCAGTATACAGAAAGGGATGGATTTTATGTAATTAAAATAATTTTATTTAATAAAAAAGTTTTTTTAGTAATGCATTAACTGAAGAGTTTGAGGGATTTTAAGGAGGTAAAGTCTACAGGACAAAACCAAAAAGTAAATGCCCACAGAGATCCAGTGAGAAATGTACTGGGTCTACCGGACCAACACAAGTCATACATGGCAAACTAGAAAAGATGGCCTGTGTCATAGGAAAAGCCAATGACTACCATGGCACTCGGGTTTTCAGATCATCCAGTTTTTCAAGAGAAGCTAGACATTTTAACTTTTATTCGAAATCTCCTAATTTTTAAATCTTTACAACCAATCCCAACATTTGAAAAACAATCTCAAGGAAAACAAAACCAAACCACATTTTTCTGGGTCAACAGTTTTGCCCTCTGCAGAGGACAGAAAGAAAACTGACTAACATCACATAGAATGACTGCTAGATAGCACTGCGATCTCAGCTAAGATAATGAACAAATTTCTAGTGGTAAAACCTAGTAGCCAGGATGCAGAAGCAAAGAAAAGGAACATGCATGAACTGATCGGAGCCTGGGGTTCTGCAGCTGAGTGGTCTGGAAAGATAAAAGTATTAAAGAATCATGCTATACACTTTGCAAACATAATCTTTAATCTTCTTAACAACTCCACGGAAACTGGTCTTGTTATCCCTATTTTACTAATGAGAAAACGTAGTAACTTGTCCATTATCATGGTTAATAAATAGTGTTGGCCAGGCATGGTGGCTCACACTTGTAATACCAGCTCTCTGGGAAGCCAAGGTAGGAGGATCACTTGAGCCCGGGAGTTTGAGACCAGCCTGGGTAATATAGTGGGATCTCATCTGTACAAAAAATAAAATTAGCTAGGTGCAGCCGACGTGCACCTGTGGTCCCAGCTACCCAGGAAGCTGACATGAGAGGACTACTTGAGCCTGAGGTGGAGACTGCAGTGAGCCGTGATTATGCCACTGCACACTAGCCTGGGCAACAGAGTAAGAACATGTCTCGATAAATAGCCAGGCATGATGGCTCACACCTGTAATCCCACCACTTTGGGAGGTCGAGGTGGGTGGATCACCTGAGATCAGGCATTCAAGACCAGCCTGGCCAACACAGTGAAACCCCATCTCTACTAAAAATACAAAAATTAGCTGGGCGTGGTGGCGTGTGCCCATA